AGAAAAGAGGAGTTCAGTATGAGGTCTGCTGAGTTTGAGGATCCTAAATCTAGGATCCGCCCATCTAGTCACATGTGTACCCCTATTACCTCCTCTTCCAATAGCGTATGAAGCCCTAATCACCCCACTCCCATTACTGTATTACTTATAGCACAACCCTTTCTTGTGACGCATGTTGTCACCTGTAATTGGGGGGCTTGCACGTCCCCAGAGAATATAAAAGCCCTGGTCGGCAATCAATCTCTCTCTCCACATGGCCCACCAGGTGAGGCTGAGGTGAGCGTGCTACCATGAAATGTGTCTGACTCCATTATTTCAATCTCTCTTCTATCGCTCACGCTCTCTATGACTTTACTATCATCTCTACCAATTATCGCTGTACAATTGCGCCTACCGGACCCGTGATGATGTGTTAGGGGCTGGATCCAGGAAGCTAACAACAAGAGGTCAGGGAAGAGGCCATGGGGTCAGAGTTACAAATATGGAGGCCACCATCATAGAGGGGTGGAAGCTATAGACACAGGCACCAGGGGAGGAGTGCAGAGGTAAAACCAAAAGGTACCTGTTAGAACCCAGGACGGACTGAGACATAGTGCATTACGTGACTCTATTGCACAAGACCTCTCTAACGTGTTACAGAGACAAGATGTTACTTTGAGGACTAAGGTGCACCTGACTCAAGCCGTGGTACTCTCAATCGCCTCACACTATGCACAGGAAAGCTTAACAGTGAATAAGGGAGACAGAGGAGGGCTGAGGCCTGTGAATTACGGTGCTGCCAGACAATACTGAAAGCGCCACGCACGGCAAGAACAACACACAACTCTGTCTTGGCAGAAGGACAGCCAGCATGCTCCTTGGAAGAGAGGATGTTGAGATCCCATCTCCCTTACTTTGGACATGTTATTAGGGGAGTCAGCCCCCGGAACAGGAGATCGTGCTTGGGAGAGGGTCAACATAAAGGAGGAAGACTCCTTGACAAGAGAGATCAACACAGTGGGCTCAAACGTAATGGGCTCATAGGTAAGAACTGAGAGGACAGCGCAGGACAGCGCGACAGCGTTTCGTTCTGTTGCATCCAGGGTCACTAAGCGTCAGGCTCGGTTTCACCAAACACCAGCACTCCAGAATACATCAACATCTAAGGATGTGCAATAGATGACTCACTAGATAATAAATCATAAAGTCAGGAGCTCTGTGTGTTTTGCTTACTGCTGTATCCCTAGCAGCCAGCACAGAGCCCAGCTCATAAATAGAATACATACTTGTGGAATGAATGAATGAACCCAATAAAGAAACCACCATTTGCAGGCTCCTCTTTGCTACAGCCAGTCAGGCCCTACATGCAAGAGATAAGCCAGAATAGAGCCGGCTAGACTGCAAGCAGAGAAAGGAAATGTAGAGCTTAGTTAACAGAGGTACCCTCCTCAGTGGACACAGCCCCAGCATTTGTCACCTTTCAGGGTGAAAAAAAAAAAAAGCCAAAAGATTCTATACTCCAAATGAAAACTTGGTAACAATAGGTTGCAAAAGAGAAAGGAGACTCGGGGATAAGAAAACTTTCATCCAAGCCAAAATGAGAAACAGAAATGACCTTCAGTAATACCAAGTTTGTGCGTCCTGGGTTTCTCTAGCACCTTCAGTCAAGAGTTCCCACCAGTCCACAGAGGAGACCACAGCACAGGTCACATGGAAAGGAGCGTCTCTTCCACTGACTTTATAGTTTAAACTGTCTCAAGACAGAAGGGCAGGGCACGGGCCAATAGGTAAAAGATCAGCATTGTGAGGCTTAAAACAACAAAATCTCTGCCATCAGGTCGATGCCAACTTACAGCGACCCTATAGGACAGAGTACAACTGCCCCTCAGGGTTTCCGAAACTGTAACTCTTTAAGGGAGTAGGAAGCCTCATCTTCGTCCTTCAAAGCAGCTGGGGGTTTCCAGCTGGTGACCTTTTGGTTAGCAGTTCAACTCGTAACACTATTCCACCAGGGCTTCCCTTGTGGAGCTTAAGGACTACAGAGAGACAAGATCTTGTTGGGTTATTGAAGACATAAACTGGACCGGAGGAAAACAGCCCTATATCTGGCAAAGCATTTCGTTTTCTTTTGTTTCAATAAGTCATATTACTGGGGCTCATACAGCTCTTATCACAATACATACGCGCATACATCGTGTCAAGCACATTTGTACATATGTTGCCATCATCATTTTCAAAAGATCTTTCTACTTGAGCCCTTGGTATCAGCTCCTCATTTTTTACCCTCCCTTCCCCGCCCTCTCTCCCTCCCTCCCTCATGAACCCTTGATAATTTATAGATTTTTTTTTCATGTCTTACACTGACCGATGTCTCCCTTCACCCACTTTTCTGTTGTCCATCCCCCTGGGAGGGGGTTATAGATAGATCGGTTCCCTCCTTTTCCCCCCACCTTACCCTTACCCTCCTGGTATGGCTACTCTCAATATTGGTCCTCAGGGGTTATCTGTCCTGGATTCCCTATGTTTCCAGCTCTTACCTGTACCCATGTACATGCTCTGGTCTAGCCAGATTTGTAAGGTAGAATTGGAGTCATGATAGTGGTAGGGAGGAAGCATTAAAGAAATAGAAGAAAGTTGTAATGTTTCATTGGTCCTATACTGCATTCTGACTGGCTCATCTCCTCCCCGAGACCCTTTGTAAAGGGATGTCCAATTGCCTACAGATGGGCTCTGGGTCTGCTGGAAGATAATTTAATGGGACTGTATTGCTAAGGAAACCATACACCTGACAGTAGCCTCTGAGGCTACAAATGGAGCCCTAGAAGAGCCCCAGCAGCAATCGGGCTTCTAAGATAAGGTGACCAGATTTTAACATTGGTAAAGCGGGACAAAAGTGGGACACCATTGAACAAACTCATATACTGGCGAAATAGCCACATGGCAGCTGAAAACTGTATACTCTAGCTTGTCGTGCATTCTTTCCAAAAATCGGGGCTTTTTTAAAACACTGCAGGACGCTGGAAAAATTATTAAAAATCGGGACTGTCCCGCCAAAAGCGGGACGTCTGGTCACCTTATTCTAAGAGCATCTTCCAGTGGCATGCCTTAGAAATGCTCCGTGGGGGAAATATGTAAGAATTTCCCAGAGGGCAAAACGAGGGGCTTCTGCCCGGCCAGGATAGGGACTGCTCACTGTCTCTCTACAGCCGGCTGCATTAAGTGGCATGGCCATGACTGCAGTGGCTGTCCTGTGTGTCCCTTCTCCCCTTTCACGATGGGAGTTTGTAGTGCCCTTTCCCTGTTTCCTTGGGTATCATAGTGGTTACACACTGGGCTAACTAACAGCAAGGCCAGCGTTTTGAAACCACCAATTGCTCCGTGCGAGACAGACAGGGCTTTCTCCTCCCCTAAAGAGCTGCAGTCTCAGAGATCCACAGGGGCAGTTCTATCCTGTCCTAGAGGATCACTGTGAGGCAACATCAGCTTCACGACAGTGAGCTTGGTTTGTTTGTTTGTTTTGGGGGCAGTGGGGTAGGGGTGTTGGGGGCATGCCTTGCCTTTAAGCCAGGGCTTTGACCTTGCTCCTGCCAGTCCACACCCACTGCTGAGAAGTTCCCTTTCTGGAGGGCTTCATTTCCACCCCAGGTGGACTGAATCAGAATTTGAACAAGATTTTACGATTTTAACAAGACTCGCAGGTGATGCTTATGGAGCTACAGAAAAATCACTTGTGGATCTTATTTAAAATGTAGCTTCTGCCTCAGTCCACCTGGGGTGGGAGTGGAGCTCCTCGGGTTCATTCCAGATTGAAGCCCTGCTTGAGGCTTTCGGAAGGAGAGGACTAACAGGCTTGAGGTTAATGAGACGGCGCAAAAGTCTGAGAGTGCCTTCCTTGGGAAGGAGGTGTGTGTCGTAGATGTTTGGGGCGGGGGGCGGGAGGAGAGGAGGGGAGTGCACACAGGTGTCTAGTAGGCCGTCAGCAGTGTCAGCTGCCTGAAACCCACTCCCTGGATTTGGAAAATAGGATAGGGATGATGTTAGCCAGAGTGGTTTAATTAGAGTGAGAGGAGGAGGGTGAGGCCAGAGGAACCAGCCACAACTGCTCTAGGAGCAAATACCAGTTGTGGATTTTTAAAACTGACAATAAAGGAACCAAACTGGAGCCCTCAAAGACCTCTTAGAGGGAATTCGTGTGCCATTTTCATCCCCAGGTGTTACCTGTGCGCTCTCTGGGGCAAAGAAGATGATGTCCAGATCCTCTCCGCTCCAGAAACAGAGAGCATCAGGGGGGCCTCCACCGCAAGTATCCGGCTCCGTGTTTTGAAAGGGAGCCTTAAGAGCCATTTATTTAAGGGGCCAAGCAAAATCAAGCTGCCTCACTAGAAAACAAACCTCATCCCCTTCGCCACCTAGGATGATCCCCAAACTCCTCAGCCGCCTTTAACGGTCTGAAGCCAGGATGCTTTCACGGCTGGGTGAAGCACATTGTTGGGAGCATCGTTACCTCCAACTGAAGAGAGAGGTAGCAGCCACAGTGGCATCGCCATGTTCAAGAAGGCTTTTTTCCACGGTTATTTACTTCACCTGCTAGCCGATACCCAACCCCTTCCCTGTCTGGCTGCAGGAAATGAAGAGGAGAGAACAGACCAAGTTCACTGAACTCAGGAAAGGGAGGGCCGAGGATGGTGCGGGGCTGCTCACCGGCGTTTTCACGAAAGCTAACTAAGCAAAACCCACCAATGCTCCACGGAAGGGGCTCTCTGCAGATAGGATCCAGGAAGGGGGAAGACAGTGCACCACAGGTCTTAGGCACACTTTCCTCAAGGTCAGACACAAGGTCAACAACAGATAGAAAGGAAATCCTTTAGGAGGTGCAGTCATCTCCAAGTGGCCTCACCTCCAAACCTCAGTTGCAAATGAGCCCGCCCCAGAGCAACAAGGCGTGGTGAGCCACCTGTTGGTGTCTGCCCTCCCGTTCCCACGTGGGGAGCCCGACTGCACTGCGAGGGGCCCACACTTACCACAGGGCGCCGAGTACATTCTATGAAAGCCAACCCTGCAGATCACGTCGCAGAACTGGCGAGGGACCTGTTGGAACAGCCTGCGGCTCACAGGCTCCCTAAGGGACGCTCTCCCTTCCATCATTTTCTTTTTCGCTTGGAAGACGGCCTTCAGAGCCTCATTGTTTATCTTCTCCACCTGCAGCCCAAGGGAAAGCAAAGCGGCTAGACGGAGAAACCGCGACACCGCAGGCCACTTACACTGCTTCAAAAGGGAGGCGCTTATAGACCTGTGACTTTGCGGACAATCTGCTTTTCCTATAAAGCCGTATGAGTCTCTCCTTTCCCCAGTCCTTTGCTGTTTTAGCTTCTGTCTGTGCTGAGCTCCTCATTTCTGATCCCCTCTGATATATTCGTTTAATTCACTATGCAATCGCTATGCACCAAGCACTGGTAATGAAATTGCTAATGATAGAGACACCGTCTCTGCTTTCTTTGATCTCAGAGTTAAATGAAGGGTTGATAAATGTTTTTAAAAAGTAAACAGTTATAATACCATGTGATAAATTCAATTCCATTTGTTGTATTTTGCTTCTAGACTGATGGCTCTCTCCTGGACCTTGGATCCACCCTACAGTGCATTCTGTCGGGAGAAAGATGAGGCTTTCTAATCCTGTAGAGTGACAGTCTCAGGAACCCACAGGGGCAGGTCTGCCCTGCCCTAGAGGGTCGCGTGAGTCAGTGTCAATTGGATGGCAGTGTTTTCCTGAGTACATCCTGATGCCATTTCTACCTCCCGAGTCTACCTATCCCCTCACTCCTGGCCTGCGCCCCCTCCTCAGAGCCCGAGCCAGCGCGCGGCTAGCTCAGGGTGGACAGCGCACTTTTGGCACAGAACCAAGTTAATCAACAGCAACATGGGGTGGAGCTCCTGCCCCTTATTTAGATATACCTTTATAACCTGAAAGCCCCCTTTTTCCAACTGCTTCTTTTTATCCTGCAGTTCTTGAGCAGAAAGCAGTTCGCGAAATTTTATGGGACTGGTATTTCCTTGCATCTTCCCCAGGGTTTGGGGTTGCTTGTCAGTCCATTGTTCTAAAAAGGAGTAACAAAAGTTTGCGTTAATATCCTGTGGGAGAAGGAAGAGCGGTAAAGGAATTTGGTGAAGCAAATTCTAGAAATTTGGAGGAAGAGATAACCTAGTTTAAATTGCAGGTGACACGTAGCTTAGGACAGGTCAGGAGACCGGCCGTACTAGGACAAGTCCTAGGGTAAAATGCAGAGGCAATCAGTGACGTCTCAGATTGAGAAGTTGAAGAGGTGACTTCTCAGATTGACGCTGAAGAGAAAAAGTATTAATAATAATCACCCCCCACCCCCCACCAATGCTGTAATGATAATATGTGCTGCTCGCTCATGATGTTTGTATTTCTATCCAGGATGCCTATCAGCAAAAAGAAACCAGCATAAGAAAACATTAAGAAATAATGGAAAACAATATGACATTTATTTCACACTTCAAAGGTTTCAATGAGATTTATACCAGTATCTCACTTGATCAGCAAGAGCCCCGGTGGGTATAGTAATTGATTACATGTGGGGCTGCAACCTACAAGGTCAGCAGTTTGAAACCACCAGCCACGTCGTGGGAGAAAGATGAGGCTTTCTACTACCACAAAGAGTTACAGTCTTGGAGCCCCATAGGGGTGGGTCTAGTCTGTTGCATAGGGTCGCAATGAGTCACAAGTGGCTCGCAGTGAGAAGAATCTCATTGGATCACTATAACATCACATAGACATAACCAACACAATCCCACAAATAAGAACAATGAAACTCAGAAATGTTAAGTGATGTGCCCAATATCACATAGCTGCAAAATGTCTAAGCTGGCCTTTCCCCAGTGCTACCTGTAAGGGGTCAAAGCAGAATATAAGGGCAGGATAATGAGAAACTCACTGCTATTGAGTCCAGCCCAGCCCAGCCCGACAGGAAAGACAGGGGCATATCTGCTCCCATGGGCCTTGCCAGGCTCTTTATAAGAGCCAACCACATCTTCCTCCTGTGCCCTGGTGGGTGGCATCAGATCACCAACCTTTTGCTCAGCAGTGGAGCGCTTTAACCGACCGCTACTACCGGGGCCCCGTGGACCAAACACACAGGGGACCACATGGAAACACACGAAGGTTTGTTTCCGCCTAGGATTTCTTCGTCTTCTTCACCAATTTGACTCAAGATCAAATACAAGGGGGCTTGGAAAAGCTCATGGAAAAACTAAGTATCTTTTCATTCCATTTTCCCATGAACTTTTTGAAAACCCCTCACAAGCTTTTCCCAGGCAGGGCTAAACCAGCGCTAGAAGATGGCCATGCCTAATTTAGCGTTTTTAAAGTTTATTGTTCTGATGGATATTTGATGGCCACCCCACCCCTCAAGAGTAATAAGTCCTTTCCAAATTCTGTTGTGTTCATGAAGGCCCCATTCAGAGGAAGAAAAGGTAAGTCTGCCCCTCTAAAATGCTGCTGAGCAATAGCATGCTTAGTCACAACGCTCAGACAATGCCACCTTATGGCAGAACAAGGGATCGGCGGGACTCTGGATTGCCAAGTAGCTTGGGAGACCAAAAACCCAAACAAACTCACTGCCATTGAGTCGATGCCCACTCAGAGTGACTTTGTAGGACAGGTTAGAAATGCCCCTGTGGGTGTCCAAGAGAGTAATTCTTTGTGGGAGTAGAAAACCTCATCAGGGATCTTTAGGAATGCAAGTCATGTAAAGTGCATTCATGTCACCAGTGGTGCCGTCAGATAGGCAAAGGACTGCTTGCCAATGTTAAGGTCGGCGGTTCAAATTCACCAACTGTTCTGGGGGAGGGAGACGAGGCTGTCTGCTCCAGTAGAGATTTACAGCCTCGGAAACCTTGTCTAGAGTCACTGTGAATCAGAATCGGCTCGAAGGCAGTAGGTTTGCTTGTTTTTTAAAAATGTCACAGGAGATCAGCGTTCCTTTGACTCCTGTTATCCGAAGGAGCATCCACGTCCGTTACAGTCCAAAGGCTAAATGGAATCATTACCTGGGGTCTCATTCTCATGCATTATTATCATTGTCCGTGTTTTGAGGACACTAGGCTCTCCATCATGTAGAGGCCAACTTCCCCTCACTTAGACCACTTCTGTCTGAGTGATCTCATAAACACATGGTGAAAAATGTCCCTTGAAATGTTATATCTGAAAGTTTGTACCTTCTGCTAAATCCACTTGCTGCCTTTACCCAGAGGGATCTTTCTAAAACACAAATTTTTATCTTGGTTTTGCTCTAAAATCCTTCAAGAGTCCACATTATTTTTCAAGAACATTTCTGAAAGCTTTCATGTGATTTACAGGGTCTGTGCTCCACTAATGCCTTCAGCCTTTGGAAGGTTTCCATGCTGGACTGGGTGAAGGTTTACAGAGCAGGCGATCGGTTTTTCACCCAACAGCTCCTACGCATTTCGCGCCACCGCATTGGTGGCCACCCCTCAATGGCCACGTATGTCTTATTTCCTGGGAACCTTTCCAGTGTCTGATTACTCTTCTTTGTGACATTCATGGCACTTCTGAGAAGCCAAGTGTTGGCTGGGTGCCCCTCTCGTGGGCCCACAGAGCCCTTTGACCTCCTTGATCACAGACACTGGCTTGTCAGGCTCTAAGCAGACTCTGAGCAGGGACGATGCCCTGTTGAGCATTGTGTGTCCAGCACTTAGCACAATGCCTGGCACGTTTCATGGGTGCAACACACGGCAGGTGAAGAAAGGAAGGCAGGAAGGCTTCACCCCCCAGGATGGCATTGTAAGTGGGACGACTTCCCAGTTAGCACCCAGGTTGGCTTGCAAAGGCTATCTCCCATCTCAGATGCCCAGTCAGTGCCATAGGTTCAGCCGGAGCAGAGGCCTTGTGCTTCTTTACCAACCGGTGGTGAACCATTTCTCGTGTTTTTCACCACATCAAAGATTCTGCTGCTAGGTAAGGCTGCCATCTGTTTCTTTTCCAGACCCACAGCACCTTCTTACAGAACCAAAGCTTAGGAAAAAAACCCCAAACCTTATTAGAGTTTGTTTACTAATCTGTAACGCACGGTTTCACGTGGCATCTGTGGTGAAAAATGTGAAATTGTTCGCTCCAGCTTAGTAAGTAAGCACAGGTCAACTCAAGCACTTACCTGGCTTACTGGATGATCTGACACAGAGGTTACCTTGACTTTGTGGGTTCTATAGGAGGCGCTGTAGGCTAGACACGGGCTGCTAACTGCAGGGTTGCGTGTTCAAACCCCCTAGCCACTCCTTGGGAGAAAAGATGAGGCTGCCTTCTCCCCTAAAGCTTTACTGCCTCTGAAACCCTATATAATTGCTATGTGTTAGAATTGAGTTGATGGCGGTAGGCTTGCTCTTTGGGGGATTAAACTAGAGTGTAACTCACAGTGGCCAGTGAATATTTTACTTTGGTGGGACAGCTCAAAGTAGGTAATTTTAGGCTTCTTAATGCTTCCATCAACAAATAAATGCAACACAACTCAATAGATAAACCAATCAGGTAGGAAGTGTCTACATTTGAATGGTCCTCCAGTGCAATTAGGGATGCCCCCCCTTAGCACCCGGGCTTAGAGTATTTTAGGCTTTCTCTGAATTACCTCTTAGGCACTTCATCCCATCATCAGTCAATCTAACCCAGTGGCAGTGGCTTCTATTTTTTACTATTAAGTAAACCTTGGAGTGGAAAAAGAGCCAGTATGACTTAGAAAGCTTGTAGCCAAATGTAGAAGCGTGATGGCTTTCGCTCAATCCTCTTCTGTTCTATCTCTGACGTCCCCCCGCCCCCCGTCCCCCGCCCACATGCACACATGCATACCCAGAGGAAGGAAGCGTTAGGAGAATGGATTTTTATAACTTAAAATGACTCACTTAACAAGCTCTGAAGATGTTGCTCATTTTCCCTGGCCATTTCCTCCTGAACTCTGCACAGCATAGTCTCAATGCACATAACTGCCTCTATGAGGTCAGGGCGGGCTCCTTTAATCTCCAACTGTGTCTTTCCTGGATTGATACTCTCTGAGATGGAGACCCCTGTAGCTTCCTGAAGCTGAGACAGAACATCAAATTCCTTTTTCCCAAAGTAGAGGATGTGGTTGTTTTCAATGATGTGGTGCTTCTGGAGGGCCAGTATCTTCTGGATCCACTCTTTGGCCTCACTCATCTCTTCCTCGTTGGACCCCATTAGATTGATGACAGGAGAGTCAGCTGTGGGCCCGTACTCCCTCCTCTTCTCGTTACCTCCCTGTAAGACTGAAACCACTGTGATCAGCAACCGAGAAGACAGGTTTAAAAGCATTGCAGAAAGAAGTACCCTAACCAGTGTTCACCCAGAGGCTCTTGTGAGCCTTTGTCCCCAGCAGCAGCCCCACGTCCGAGCCTACCGATGAGCGTGCAGCTGGGAACAAAACTCACTCCCACCGACTCCTTCCAACTCATGGCACTCCAACAGCACAGGTCGACATGCCCCTGTGGGTCTCTGAGACTGTCACTGCTTTGAGGAGTAAAAAGCCCCATCTTTCTCCCACGGAGTCACACGGGTATTATTAGCAGCCCCATCTCACACAGAAATAAACTAAATCAGAGAATGATTAAGTAACTCGTTCGTGCTTCTAGGGACCTGCCTCCAGCCCATTTACATGTACCATCACTAGGAAATGGTGGCCATAGAGTTCCTGGATGGTGGGATCAGTTAATGTGTCTGGCTGCTAACAAAAGGCTAGGTTCCAGGATACCCTGGCATCTCAGAAGAAAGGCCTAGTGATTTACTTACAAAAACAAAACAAAACCCAGCCATTGAAAAACCCGTGATACTCTGGAGATCACATGCGTCAGCAATGACTCATTGGCAACTGGTGTGGCCATACCGTGAGCTATGAAAAAGTATCAGGACAGACAGAGAGGGGACAATGGCCTCCTGTTGAGTCAAAATAAAAGTCAGTGTTGTAGACCACAGTGAGACGTGACTAGGGCTCTTAAATTGGAGGCATTTTTCAAAACCCTTGTTCTGCTTAGAAACTTAGATTACTTTTGGGGGGGGGACAATAAAGACAATACAAGGTAATACTTAATCTATTCATAATTAGCAAGACAGATGAATTATTCTCGTAGGCAACTAAATTGTTCTGATCACTAAAGGATACCCTTCTCACACCACGATCTATTTGATTGGACCTAGTCGTTAACTACACATGAGCCCAGGTAGCCCAATGGTTAAGCACTCAACTGCTGACCCAATGGCTAGCACCGGCAGCTGGGAGGAGAGAGACCTGGCAATCTGCTCCTGCCCAGATTACAGCCTCGCAAATCCTCTCGTGAGCATCTACTCTGTCACATACGGTCACTCTGACTCAGAATCAAACAAGCAACGGCGTATAACATTAGTTGAATATTTTCAATGGAAACATACCTCCCTACCTTCCTAAGTAGTTTAACCTTTCTTTGATGATCTGAAGTCATCTTTATTAATGTCAATTAATGGCCACACTATAATTCCTTTAGAGAGATGTTGTCAAGAATTCCTCAAGTAAATTGTGACCCTTGCCCTATAATTCAGATTAAGGACATATGGACATTTGTCTGCTCCTTGCCTAGATAAGGAAACCTAGGGGCGCTGTTGGTTAAGCTAACTGCAAACTTTGCTGACTGCAATGTGGGTGATTCAAAGCCACCACCTGCTTCTCAGGGAGAAAGGTGAGGCAGTCTGCTTCTGTAAAGATTTACAGCCTCAGAAACCCCACACAGGGTAACTATGAGCTCAAACTGACAAGTCGGCAGCTGCTTGATTACTAACCCCCAAGGTTGTTACTTAGAGCAATCTGGTGCCCCTGACCCAAGCCATTATATTTTCAGTTGCTTCATCTGTGTGTGAAAATTGGACACTGAATAAGGAAGACTCAAGAAGAATTGATGCATCTGAATGATGGTGCTGATGAAAAATCTTGAAAGTATCACAGACTGCCAAAAGAACAAAGAAATCTGTTTGGGAAGAAGTACAGCCAGAATGATCCTTACAAGCCAGGATGGTGAGACTTCATCTCACCTAGTTTGGACATGTGATCAGGAGAGATCAGTCCCTGGAAAAGGATGCCATGCTTGGTAAAGTAATTCGCTCCTTGTCATTGAGCAGATGCTGAGGAGCTGGCGGGGGCGGAGGGGGGGGGCGGGGAAGTAAGGCCCTTGACCATCTGGCCACACAGTGGCTCAAGCATGGGCTCAAAGATCAGAACAACTGTGAGGATGGAGCGGGACCGGGGGTGTTTCCTTCCGTTGTCTGAACTGGTGGGTCTGAGCCGAGTTGACGACCCCTAACAACATAACATCCTCACTTAAACTCGATTTCTCTAGCTAACCTGGATTCCTCGTCGTCCTCCAATACACACTGCATTGGCTTGTTCCTGAGTTTTCTTCATCGTTGGTAACCAATGCAACCAACTCTGACCTTTGAAAGTCTTGCTGTAGTCGAGCCCAGCTTAGAGCCAGCTCCTCAATGAAACTGTTCTTGATCCCTTACAATCAAGAGGAATGTCCCTCTCTTCTAGGGCAGCTGGGGAATTTCCCCATTCTCTCATGTCATATTTGTGGTAGTGACATCATCTGTTGTCAATTTGAGACTATTAAGAGTGAAGGGGTGGAGTTTAGCCTGTCAATTAGGCCCCAACTTGATGACCTCATTTTGAGGCTCTAAGGAGATAAATAGTTCTCTGGAGGCGGGACACACGCTCAATCCCTGGGAGACATTCTTGCTGACAAGACACATGGAGCTACGCTAGTGCCCTGGAGCTGGAGGAGCCACATGGAGACCTCTGCTAGGCTTACACCACCACTGGATCCACAAGACTTTCCACCCACTGGCCCGTGATCTTCCTGTATTCAGCATCATTTGCATGTGTTTTGTGAGTCTGAAGAGGCATTTACAGACTGGTATTGGACATATGGGCTAATATCAGACTTAAGGACTTGATCAGGACTGGGCTGGGATGTTTTCTTAATGTACAATTACTCTTTATATAAAGCTCTTTCCTATATTCATGTAAGTATCTATGAATTTATTTCTCTAGTCTCCCCAGACCAACACATTATTATCCCTTGGCAACTGTGTAAAGAGCCGTGGTGGTGCTCTGGGTGACAGTTTGGAAACTCTGGATATAGTTGCTTAGAACAAGAATCTACATGATGGCTGTGGGTTTGGCTTTGGGAAGTTTGCATGTTTAATGCTTTACAATTTCTGGAAAACTTTTGCATATATAATCTTCAGAGATCCTACAATGGTCTGTCAGACCACCAACCAGGCTCAGAAGAGGCACAATCCCAGAGTAGAACTCCAAAAGTTCCCCTTTCTTTACTTCCAACACCGACTGACAACTGAATATCCATGGGTACATTCTGCCTGTAAAAAGTAAATGCACCCCAAACAAAATGATTTAAAAATAAATAAATAAGTGAATGCAAATCATTTCGACCCTACGGAGAAATGCCCTAGGAGTTCCTACTGCTAGTTGAGCGCTGTGTTCTCAACAGCCATGGAATATTGTAAACTAAAAGACTCTTTCATTAGTTCATATCCTAGACATCATGAAAGAACTCCAGCTCCACACACTCAACCCCATCAATAAAATGTTGTTTTGAGACTAAGTTAATCCTCCACCAGCCTCCAACAGCCAGGACTGACATAAATTCACACTGTCATTGAGTTGATTGCAACCCATAGCTACCCTATGGGACGGAGCACGCCTGCCCCAGGGGTTTCTAAACGTGCACCCTTCTACAGAAGTAGAAAGCCTCATCTTCCTCCCAAGCGATACGGCCTAGAGCACACATAGGCAGAACCTGCTAGGCCCCGGCCAGAGTGCCTGAATCAGAATCTCTAGTTGAGGCCTATCTCTATTTTTGTTTATTTCTTTTATTGTTTATTTTGTTTATTTCTTGTTCATTTTCTAGTTTCTATCATGGTTCCAATGATCAGTCAGGTGTGGGAAGGTTAAGTTAACCCATTTATCTGGGCTATGTTTCCTGTAGTTACTAATGGGAAACGCAGTTTGTATGTTCATAACAAAAAGAACAGAACTTTTTCTTTAAAAAAAAAAAATGATAGGCATACATTTTGGCAGTGAAGTACCCAATCTGTTCTTATCATGAAACTGGCCTGCGCAAGTCTTAGGGTTATAGTCAGGTGCAGAGCAGGTTGGTACCAGAACAGGCACACAATGAAATATATTTGGCTTATTCTGCCCACCACACCCCCAACTTCCCATTAGTTCAGATGAGCAAGAGTAGATTCTTGGCAGGAGACTCGGTTTTTAGGCACATGGATTTCTCACCACTGTAAGTGTTGAGACTCAACAAACTTGAACTTACCCTTAGCCATGTTAGCACCGACCATCTGCAAGAAGCAAACAACAAAGAGTGTTAAGTGAGGTTCAGGGGCCCTTGTTCTCAAAATCCTGCTCCATTTGCACTCACCAGACTTTCTTGCCTTCTGTCGATCCCCATTCTCCCTGCCACAAATCTAAATCAAATGCTTTGAACTGTGCCTCCCCAAAATCGAAGTTGTAAATCTCAACCTCTCTGCCTATGGTTGGGATCCCACTTGATTTGTTGCGGTAATGAGGCAAGACCAGTGGAGGGTGTGTTCCGTGTCGATATCGTACCAACTATCAAAGGAGCAGACTAGGGAGAGCAAGACAGAAGAAGTGGAAGAAGAGAGATGAGCCAAGACAGATGCTGAGACACATGGGTATCCCCAAGGAACCAGGAACCAGAGCGGCAAGAACCTTCCTCCAAAGCGACACAGAGCAAGTCTTCCCCCAGAACCAGCTCAGAACTCAGATGTCTATCCTCCTAAACCCGAGAACACCAACTTGCTTGTTGAAGCTATCCGCTTCAGGCACTCTCTCCCTGCAGCGCCAGATCACTAAGACAGATGTCACCGGTATAGTCCCAGAGGGCAGCAGGCTCACCGCCACTGTTAGAACACGTAGGGGAAGCCAGGACAGGAAAAATGGAAAGCCAAAAACGTGGTGTAAAGAAAACCAAACACCAAGACCACTGCCATCAAGTCGGTTCCAACCCATAGCAATCCCATCGAAGGTTTCAGAGTCTGTGAATCTTCTCAGGGACAGGACAGCCTCATCTTTCTCCCTCAGTGAGGCTGGAAGATTTGAACCACTGACCTGACAAGTAGCAGTCCAAGACTTACCTGAAAGTTCCTTATGAGGAATCCATTTTCCAAGGTAAAGTATAATTATTTGTTTATTCGACAGCTTTAAATGCTGTGAATTACATGTCAGGTACTCAACCAGGAACTGTGCATCTATCCCTGACAAAGATAAATGTTGTGTAGGCAGTGTTTCACCAGCTCTGTCAGGAAATGAGCAACACGTATCTTGAGGGATGTGGGTAGTATGTTCCGCAGGAAGTGGTCCTGATCTGATAGTTTGGCTCCCCTCTAAGGATAATCTGGGGAAAAGACAGGCTTTCGACCCCCATGAAGAGTTGCAGTCTAGGGAGCAGGGCTCGTTCTACCCTGTCCTAGACGGTCACTCTGGGTCAGAATGGGCTCGATGAGAGTGAGTTTGAGAAGGATAATTTAGGTGATTCTCGTAGACAGTCATGAATGCTTAACTTTGAAAGTATACCAGAATTTGTAATATTGGGGGCTTGGAGCCCTTTAAATATCTATTTATTGTCAACAACATTAGGAACTTCCTAATGTTGGCCACAAATAGATGCAATAAAGTTTCAGGTAACGGGAAAAATAACGCCACTAGGATGTTTCTGTTCAGACAAACTTCTCAAATACATATTCACTTGCTGATGCCTAGAGTCTGTGGTCCCCTTACTTTTTCTTTAATTGTCTCACAGGCAAATTATATCCTTCTAAGTAATATTTTTCCCACTTATGGTTAAGTTTATATAACTGTGCACAGAGGAGAGTCTTAAAAAATGACATAAGATATACTCTACTGTCTTTGAGTTGATTCTGACTCATAGCAACTCTATGGAGTTTCCAGGGATGCAAATCATTACTGGAGCAGACAGCCTAATCTTTCTCCCTTGGAGCGGCTGGTGGGTTTGAACCACTGATTGTGTGGTTAGCAATCCAATCCTTAGGTTCTTTCTCTTTCCAATGCAATCCCTGTGGCCCCTGCTTGTTCATCAGTGATCTGCTACACATCCAGATGCAGGCCTAGACTAGAGTAGAGCTGCAGATGTGAATCAGCCAGCATCTCTGTCGTAGAGGGGCTCTGGACCTAGATTAGCCCCAAACACGTAACGCTCCCGGTCAGGTCCTCCCCTGTGAATCCAATGGGCCCTGGCCAAAAGCCTCTTAACATTTTGTATTCTCCACAGCCACTGGCATGGAGCCAAAGAAGGCTCAAGACTCAGAATATTCCTTAACATGCCCCCCACCCCAAACTCCTTGGAGAAATATAGACTGTCTACTCCTTCAAAACCTTACAATCTCAGAAACCCTATATAGGATCACTAGAAGTCAGAATCACCTGATGGCAGAGCTGTGGGGTATATATGAGGGGATACCCACCCCCAAATGGAATGCCCCCCCCCAAAGCTATGTATTTAATTTTTTTAGAAAACAACCTCATCACCTTCAACGTACTCTCCATTACCCCTAATACATTTGTCAAATCTGTGATTCCATTCTTGGAAACATTTTTCAAACTCATCTGTTTGGATGGCTGACAGCATCTGTCTCGTTTTTTTTTCTTCACCTCTTCTACATTGTCAAATCCCTGTCCTTTCATGTCCCTCTTCATTTGCGAAAACAAAAAGAAGTCAGTGCATGGGGCAAGAGAGGCATGCTGTTTTTTGCCTACAAGTAGAGGTCTAAATCCAGGCACATACATATGTAAATATATTTATATAGAACCATATGAATATAGATCTGTGTATATATATTTACATGTTAAGTACTAAGGACATTGGAACTCTACTTAAGTACTCCCTCAATGCAAGAACACTTTATTCTAATAACCTGGCATTCTGTGATGCTCAGCTTCCCGACACGATTGCTGAAGACAAAATGGGTGCATAAGCAAATGTGGTGAAGAAAGCTGATGGTGCCCGGTTATCAAAAGATATAGCATCTGGGGTCTTAAAGGCTTGAAGATAAACAAGTGGCCATCTAACTCAGAGAAACAAAGACCACATGGAAGAAGCACACCAGTCTGTGTGATCATGAGTTGTCGACAGAATCAGGTATCAGAAGCCCCAAAATAAACAATCATATAAATGTGAACGGGGTTGGGGGGTTGGGGGCATGGAGTGGAGACTTAAAGCCCATCTGTAGATAATTGGACATCCCCTCACAGAAGGGTCACAAGGAAGGGAGACGAGCCAGCCATCAGTATAGCACTGATAAAATAGACAACATTCCTCTAGTTGTTTAATGCTTCTTCACCCCCCACTATCATGACCCCAGTTCTACCTTACAAATCCAGCTATACCAGTGCATGTACACTGGTACAGATAAGAGCTCTTGACACGCAGAATCCAGAACAAATAAACCCCTCAGGTACAATAATGGGAGTAGCAATACCATGAGGGTAGAGGGAAGGTGGGGGGAGACAGGGGAAGCAACCACAATGATAGACATATAACCCTCCTCACCCCACCCAGGGTGATGAACAGCAGAAACATGGGTGAAGGGAGACAGCGGATGGTGTAAGATATGAAAATAATAAGTTATAATTTATCATGGGTTAATAAGGGTGGGAGGGTGGAGGAGGGAAGGAAAGAAATGAGGGGCTGATACCAAGGGCTCAAGTAGAAAGAAAATGTTTTGAAAAGGATGATAGCAACATATATACAAATGTGCTTGGCACAATGGATGTATGGACTTTTTTTTTTGATGTATGGATTGTTATAAGGGCTGTAAGAGCTCCCAAGAAAATGATTATAAATAAATAGATAGAGAAATAAAAAAGAGATTAAACAAGCAAACAACATGTGTTGGAGGGGGTGGTGGTGGTTGTGGGAAGAATTGATACCACGCCACAAGGAGACTTCCAAGAAACAAAGGGAAGCAACAAGCACCTTTGCCCACTGCCCACAAAGAGGGAAAGCCTCCCCTAGAGCTAGTGCCCCAGTTTGGGATTCTAGCTTCCTAAACTGAGAGGATAAAGATGTTGATACCATCCACTGTGTTACAGCAGCACTGAAGGACTAAGACAGGAGGCAAGAGGGACATCTTCTTGACTCACCGACGATTCTAATTCACTCGGGCCCAAGATGTTTTCCGAAGCAACTTTAAAGGCAGCCACAGTAGGGTCTTCATTGCTCACCAGATGAATTTGTTTCAAATTTCCGGCCACTGGGGTAGAGTGGAAGAATGCTCTGATCGTTTCGAGAATGGTATGCGTACACAAGCGCAGAGGAAAACCGAAGATCCCGGAACTTATGGCTGGAATTGCGACAGATTCAATGTCTGGATTGCTCAGGGCAAACTGTAGAATATTGTGAATGGTCATTCTCAGCACATGAACACACTTTTCTCCATCTGTCATCGTCCACTGAGGGCCAACAGCATGGATGATCAACTTGCAAGGAAGCCTGCCTGCTTTGGTGATGCCTATTTGACCAGGTGGTATTTGACCGTGCGTGGCAATAATTTTTAGGCTCTCCTCTTGGATTTCAGGGCCACCAACTTTCACCAGGGCCCCGGCCAGGCCTGCTCCATGGGAGAGGAATCCATTGGCTGCATTGACCACAGCATCAACGACATGTTTGGTGAGGTCATCCTTCCAGACTGATAGCTCCATCCAAGGAGTCAGCATTTTTCTGAAGATGGGTAGAGGTTTCATGTGACCTTTCAAGGCTGGAGAGTCCAGGGTCGAGATACAACCAAACTTATTCTGGAGGACTTCAAACAACCGACTCTCATGGTTCTTAAGTATTTTAAAGTCATCGTGGTTAATAGGAAGATGCCAGCAAAGGTTTTCATGGTGAGCTTCCACAGTTTTCATGGTGAATTCCTTTTCTGGAAAAGGAGAGAAGATAGAACATAATAAGCAAGTGTTCCACTGAAAAGGAGATAATATCACTTCACACTAGGCAACCACTTTTCCTATTTGGGAGAGTCTTATGTATTATTATTTTAATCAATATACAAATGACAAGTTTGGGAGGACCCACGCTTACGGCACAAGTATTAGAAAGGATTTCATTGTGAGCAAAAACCAAACCCAACCAATGCATGTGGAGGCTTTATTCGTAACTCTTGCTTTTGTCAGTGTCTTAGTTTCTCTGGAAGCAGAGCCTGAGAAATACTTTGAGTGAAGTAGTTTATTTGGGAGTCCAGTTGCAGTTACATTAAAATGTGTAGTTACCATGTGCTGACAGTGAAAGTCCCAAATCCATTTTTTAAAAATCATTTTATTGGGGGCTCGTACAACTCTTATCACAATCCATACATACATCTACTGTGTCAAGCACATTTGTACATTTGTTGCCATCATCATTCTCAAAACATTTGCTTTCTGCTTGAGCCCTTGGTATCAGCTCCTCATTTTTTCCCCCTTTCTCCCCATGTAGATTAAGCCTCCAGTGAATTCCCTCAGACCACTGATCAGAGATGTGAATCGTCTTGCCCTCAGACAGAGTGCACTGGAAAGTGGATTACTGCAAAAGATATCATTCGGTTAAAATTGAACATATTATCATTTGTTTTCCTTTTTTGGCCCATTCTTAATATGTTCTAGTTTCTATTCTGCTTTGTTTTGGATTGAGATTTTTCTGGGTTTTTTTCTACTTCTAAAAATTGAGCCATCGAAAATCCTTTGAATCATAGTTCTACTCAGACAAGCATGGGATTGCCATGAGCCAGAATTAACTTGAGAGAAACTGGTTTTACCAAGTGTGATAGTTACATAATCTGGTGTCAATTTGAGAGGATTGAGTGAAGGGGTGGAGTCTGACCTGTCAATCAAGATATAATCAAGGAGGCCTCTATGTGGTCATGGGTCCTTCCCTGAGGATTCTGGGAAAACTCTGGGATTTCCTACTTGGAGGCAGAAGACACACTCTCTCAACTCACTCTTTTGGAGACGCTCCACTGACAAGGCACATGGCGCTACACTGATAGACCCTGTGCCTTGGGAACTGGAGAAGCCACGTGGAGACCCCTGCCAGCGCTGAGATGCTTCCAATGCCACTGGATCCAAAGACTTTCTACCCACTGGCCTGTGATCGTCCTGCATTTGGTGTCATTGCATGTGTTTCATGAGTTTGAAGAGGACTTTATAAATTGGTATCGGACATATGGGAAAATATCGGATTTATGGGCTTTGACTGGCCTGGGTGGAATGCTTTCTTAATGTACAATTACCCTTTATATAAAACTCTCTCTTAAATACATATGCGTGTCTATGGATTTGTTTCTCTAGTCTACCAAGACTGACACACCAAGCAAATGGATAGTCACTCTATTGAGGAACTTTATGAGCCAGTACAGGTCATATGTTTTAGAATTTACCACCACAGAAGTAAAGGAGCTGGGATAGTTAGCCAAGTTCACACTGTGGGATAAGCTTTGGGCTTCTAACCTCAAGATGTGTGGTTCAAATCCCACTAGCTGCTACATGGGAGAAAAATGAGGCTGTCTGCTCCCATAAAGACTTACAGCTTTAGAAACTCCAAGGAGTGGTTCTTCCTGTCTTATAGGGTTATTATGAGTCAAAATTAACTCAATGACAGTATTTTGGTTTTTTTGGTTTTGATTTCGACCACTCATTGGTTGAAGGTTACTTTTGAGGGCAGGCAAATGGGGGGAGACACTGACAGTGACCACTACCATGAATACCTCCTCACATTACCCTAGTTTTGTGGTACAATTTTGATGGAATCAGAACTGATTGACTAGACAATATTTACTCGGCATGGCAGACAAGACGTGCTACTCAGATCCACCTTCACTTTGGTGATGGAGAGGGAGAAAGGAATAGCTGACAGTCTTCACCTGTCAGATTCCACCCAACACCAGCTTTTGATCTAACATCATGCTTATCAGAGCCGAATAAACACCATTGATGTCTATCAGAGGAGTCATCTGATGGGCAACCCTGCCATGGTAGGACTTCTGTCAGGTTTTCATTCCAGTGTGATGGCTGCGCCGGCTCAGTGCTCCCCATTCCCTTCATAATTAACACCCCCCCCTCCTTTTCTGTTACACGTTTATATTCTTCTTTTATGGTTAATGGACCTCTATTCCTTTTTGACTCTCAAGGTCTCTTTCCCCATGGCCCTGCCCCTGTGGATACATGTGCTTCCCAGGCAGACTCACACGGTCAAGCCACCATCACCCACACCAGGCATTTTTGTTAACCCTAAGTTTTAACTGATATTTTATTATTTCAATCATTTGATTGGCCTATAATCCCCCTATCATACAATTCCACAGTCCGATGACATCAAGAAGAGTTGTATAATCAACACAATTCGCTGTAGATTTTCTTCATTCCTGTACGCATTCTTGTACTTATTAGCTCCCCATTTCCACCAACCTCCCCTGCCACACCCCACAGGAACCATTAATTTAGTTACTGTCGCAATAGATTTACCTATTCTGGATTTCATATACAGAAAACATTAAGAAAACAAAGTAAAAGAGATAAAAACTTCAATAGAAAAGAGAGCAGAAAATATTAACTAGAACAATTTTAAATGACGAATCAAAAGGGAGATCAAATGATATAACCTAACTGCATCTGCAACAGTCCACTTTCCAATGCCCTCTGCATGATAGCAAGGTTATTCAAGGTTATCCCTGGTCTATGGTCAGAGGGAATTCACCAGAGGCTTAATCCATGTGTATTTCCCCTTTACTTTTTTTTTTTTTAACTTTAATGGAAACAACATGCATCCTTAAATAGATGAAATGTGGAAATCATATTTGAAGTGCCTTTAATCGGAGCTGTCAAAAGAGCTCTGTTGGCCTCAGTTATCCAAAAGAAGCAACAAGCTTGTTGTCAGATCTTGTTGACCTGACGCTGGGTTGGAAATCTCAATGGACTACTCCATAGGATGTTGTTGTTTCTGTTCGATGCAGTTACTCCCAACTCTTAGCAACCCTTGAGAAACAGAACAAAACACTGTGCTCTGCACTGAGCCACCCTCGCCATTGTTATGTGTAAACCCATATTTTCATCCCCCGGCCCCCCAAGCCCATTGTTGTACTCTCATTGAGGCTTGTGTCAGTCCGGGTGGATTAGAGAAACAAATTCATAAACATGCATATGTGTATAAGAAAGAAGTTTATATACAAGAGCAGTTGAATATTGAGAAAACCTCCCAGCCCAGCTCAGATCAAGTCCATGAGTCTGATATTATCCCATATGTCTGATAGCAATCTATAAAGTTCTCTTCAGACTCACAAAACATGCAATGGCACCAAATGCAGGAAGATCACAGGCCAGTGGGTGGGAAGTCTTTGGATCCAGTGGTGTTGTAAGCATCTCAGCGCTGGTTTCTCCGGCTTCAGAGGTCTGATTGCATCAGGGTAGGTCTATGTGGCTTGTCCAGCTCAGGGCACTAGTGTAGTTTCATGTGTCTTGTCAACTGCAACGTTTCCCAGGGAGTGAGCAGAGAGAGAGAGGTGTCTCCTGCCTCCAAGGAGGAGATACAGGAGTTCCCAAAATTCTCAGAAGGCCATGCCCACACAGAGGCCTCATTGGTTATATCTTGATTAACAGACCAGACTCCACCCCTTCATTGTAATACTCTCAAATTGACACCAGATTATGTAACTACCACAAGGCTCTTCCCCTTTTTTGTTGACCCTCTACTCTCCTAAGCATAATGTTCTTCTCCCGGGACTGTCACAACAACATGACTAAAGTACACGAAGCAAAGTCTCACCATCCTTGCTTCTAAAAACCAGTTTGGCTGTACTTCCTCCAAGACAGATCTGTGTGTTCTTTTGGCAGTCCAGGGCACATTTAATGTTCTCACCACTACCATAATTCAAAAGCATCAATATCTGGTCTTCCTTATGCATTTCCAGCTTCCGTATATATATGAGGCCATTGAAATTCAGGTGCACCCTAGACCTCAAAGTGATTCCGCACCCCCCATCTTTATCATGTCAAGGCATCATTTGCAGCAGATTTACCAACTGTAACACATCATTTGATTTCTGGCTGCTGTATCCATGGATATTGATTGTGGATCCAAGTAAAATTAAATCCTTGGCAACGTCAATGTTTTATGCATTTATCTATTGGTGCAGTTGTGAGAATTTTTTGTTTTCTTTACATTGAGTTGTAATTCATATTGGAAGCCACCATCTTTGATTTTCATCAGTAAGTGTGTCACGGCTTCTTCAGTTTCAGCAAGCAAGACTGTGTCATCTGTATTTTGCATGTTGATAACGAATCTTCCTTCAACCCTAATGCAATGTTCTCCATAGAGTCCAGTTCTTGGGTTAGTTGTTCAGCAGACAGATTGAATAAGTATGGTTGTGTTAGGCCGAGGTGACTAGAGAAACAAATCCAGTGACATCCATATATGTATACGAAGGAACTTTACATCGAGGATTATATATCAAGAAAGAGTGCCAGCCCAGTCCAACTCAAGTCCGTGAGTCCAATACTAGTCTCTAAGTCCCTCTTCAGACCCATGCAGCCACATGCAATGATGCAGAACGTAGGAAGATCACAGGCCCGTGGGTGCAGTCATGTGGTTTCAAGGTTGGTGGAAACATGACAGGGCACCAGCAATTCCAAGGGTGGCCACCAGAGCCCCAGCAAGCAGGAGAGTGCAGTGACAGAATGAGAAGAAAGTTCCCAGGGTCTTCCTTAAGAGCAGGCCACACCCCCAAGGAGACAATATCAGGCTGTGACATTTACTTTACATTGAGTTGTATTTATATTGGAAGCCATAGTTACATTTATATTAAATGTAACTATGTCACATTTACTTGTGACCTGATTGACGGGTTTGATTCCACCCTTACACTTTCAGACATCTTTAAGCTGACAAAAAATCCTCTAACTACCACAACAGTGAAAAGATACGACCGTGACCCACACCTTTCCTGATTTTAAGCCATGAGGCATTCCCTTGTTCTGTTCAAACCACTGCGTCTTGGCCCATGCACAGGTTCTGCCTGAGAACAATGAAGTGTTTGGGGATACTCATTCTTTGCAATATTGTGAACCATACTTATTCACAGTCTAATGTTTTTGCATAGTCAATAAAGCACCAGTCATTTTTCATATTCTCTCCTTTCAGCCAAGATCCATCTGATGTCAGCAATTATATCTCTCATTCTACATCCTCTTTAGAATCTGACTTCAATTTCTAGAAGTTGTCAATGTACTGCTGCCACCATTGTTGAATTTTCTTCAGCAAAATGTTTACTTGTATGTAATAGTGATGAAATTGATAATTTCTTCATTCTGTTGGCTCACGTTTCTTTGTAATGGGCACAACTATGGATCTCTTCCAATGGGTTGGCCAGGGAGCTGTCTTCCAAATTTCTTGGCATAGATAAGTGAGTGCCTCCAGCATTGTGGTAGTTTGTTAAACCATTTCAATTGATAGTCTCTCAATTCCTGGAGTCTTGGTTTTTGCCAATGCCTTCAGGTCAGGTTCTTCCTTCAATCATTGATACTTGATTGAAATGCTACCCCCTGATATGTCTGAATGTCAACCAAGTCCTTTTAGTACTATAACTGTATTCTTCCCACTTCCTGCAACTTTCATTATTTTGCGCACAGAATCCTTCAGTACTGCTATTTGAGGCTTGACATTTCCCTTCAGTTCTTTCACCTTGAGAAAAGTTGAGTGTGTTCTTTCTTTTTGGTTTTCCAACTCAAGGTCTTTGCACATTTCGTTCTGAGACTTTGTTTTCTCAAGCTGCCCTTTGGACTTTTCAGTTCAGTGCTTTACTCCACTTCTTCTATTGCTTTAATTTCTCCATATTCAAGAGCAAGTTTCAGAGTCTCATCTGACATCCATTTTGGTCTTTTCTTTCCCTCCTATTTTTAATATACCTAATTTTATTACAAATTTTAATAAAAAACAAAACAAAAGGAAACATCCTAAAAAACCCCAAATTTACTATTGATGCTAATTCCTAGGAGTTTGCTGTGCTACCACACATAAGTCAAGAAATTAAAGAGCCATTAACTATTTTAGAACCATTCAACATCAGAAGCTTTATATCTGAATATGTGGTAACCCCTCAAAAAGCTACAACCTGCATTTAAAAAAGTATTTTCTCTACCAAGAATCTTATCAGCTATACAAAATTCGGTACAGTTTTTTATATTTAAGCTAACATTAAGCTGAACTTGAATTCACATTCTTAGCTAAACAATTGCCCGAGTGCACATGCATACTCCATGCATTATTACAGGATAGCGACTTATTCTTCCTCTTCGGGTTCATTCTTCGTCTTTGAACCTGTGGGCCTGCCAGGACACTTCTTTCCTGCTTCCCTTTTGCCCTTGGCACAGTATGCAGCAATATCCTGTTCATATTTCTCCTTTAGCTTGGCTGCTTTCTGTTTATCTTTGGCGAAGCGTTCAAACCACATTTCACCCAGTTTTTTTGCAGTCTCCCCAATGGACAGGCCTGGGTGTTTACTTTTGATCTTTGGGTGATGTTCAGAGCCAACCAGGAAGAAAGCAGATGGTGTTCTGGGGCACTGGGATCTTTTTTCTTTCCCTCCTTATCGCCTTTGGGAGGCACGTCATTTTTCACCTCCCTGCCAGCGCGTGCTTTGTCACTTTGGGGCCATATCTTCAAACTTTGACTTTTCCTTTGCAGACAGGGTCTCTCTCGGAACACGTCTTGGAGAATTCGGCGAAGTTGACCGAGGAGTCCGGTGCTTCTTTTCTGCTCTTCCCGGCAGGTCTGCCTGAAGGAGGCGGACGAGGACATTTTGCCCCGCGGCTTGTTGGGGTCTCCTTTGCCCATCGTGAGGCTCGGGGTCTGACTGGTGCAAGCCTAGAAGCTTCTCCTCAGTCCTGAGAGGCAGTCACATCTGCCTGAGATGCTTCTTTCCACAGGCTCTGGCTAAACTGTCTCTCCTCTTCTGTTAATGACCTTTTGCTACATGTATGATGTTCTTGATCTCACACTATTCCTTCTGTCTTCTCTGGTCATTAATGTTCAATGCATCAAATCTATTGCTGAGATGGTCTCTAAATTCAAATGGAATGTGCTCAAGGTTGGTCGTATTTTGGCTTTCCTGGTCTTCAAACGTTTCCTGAGCTTCCTTCAACTTGAGCTTGCAGTTCCACAGTCAGTCCCTGGTCTTGTTCTGGCTGATGATATGGAATGTCTCCATGGTCTCTTTCCAAAATGCAGTCGTCAATCCGATTCCGTGTCTTCCATCCAGAGAAGTCCCCTGTATGGTCACCATCTACGTTGTTGACAAAAGGTAGTTATAATGAATAGGTCATTTATTTTATAAAATTCTAATATGCGACTTTCAGCATATCCTTCTATCACCAATCTTACTCTGTTTCCAACATTCCTGTTCCAGTCCCCGGTAATTAGCCACTTATCTTGATTGAATGTTTGATCAATTTTAGACTGAAGACGTTAATGAAATTCATCAACATCTACATCTTTGGCTTTTATAGTTGGTGTGTAAATTTGCATAACAGTCATATTAACTAGTCTTCCTTATGGGTGCCTAGATAGTATCTTATCAATGATAGCATTGAGCTTGTAGATAGAGCTGAATATTTTTAATGATAAATGTGACACCATTCCTCTATGATCTGTCATTCTTGGCATAGTAAACCATATAATTGTCTAATTCAAAATGGTCAGTACTAGTTCATCACAGCTTACTAAATACCTAGGATGTTGATCTTCATGTGCTGCATTTAAATGTTGGACAGCTTTCAATTTTCCTGGAATCTTACGTTGTACAATCCCATTCTAATTATTAGTGGATGTTTGCAGCTGTTTCTTCTCATCATTTTGAGGAGCATGCCATCAGCAAATGAAGGCATTCATGTAGACTCTGTTTTGAGGAGGCAGCTCTTCCCCAGTCGTATTTGGGGTGCCTTCTAATCTGAGGGGGCTCATCTTCTGGCAGTGTATCAGATAATATTCTCCTGCTATTCAAAAGTTTTAATGGCCGCAGCATGGCCATCCAGGAGCTGTTCGAGCCCATCTTGGAGCAGTTCGCTGCATGTTCCACCGGAAGGCTCTTCTGCACTGGGACACAGCGAGGGCACGGATGAGGAGGACTTCGCCGAGGCTGAGAACAACCTGAACGAGCTCATCTCGGAGTACCAGCAGGACCAGGATGCCACTGACAAAGAGGAGCGTGATTTGGGGAAGGAGGCAGAAGAGGAGGCTTAAGGTGGAGTCCCAGCACCCCAGGTTTGTCAGTTCCCTCTGCCTTCTTCCTCAGTTGCCCCTTTCCTCTCCCTCAGAATTCTGCTTCTCATTTCTTTCATTTTCCTCCCCCTTGAGGAGGCTCTAGAACATTTCCTGGCACAAAACAGGCACTCAATAAAGTCTTGTTGTTTGTTGAATGTCTCCTCTCTTTTTCCACTGTGAGAAACTTAAGATTTCTGCCGTTCTGGGTAACCCTGTGTTTCCTCCTAGCACCTACTGCTCCCTTCTGTGTGATTCATCACTTCTGTCTGTTTTCTAGGTCCTTCTCCAGGAAGCTGGGTCTCATCCAGACCCTATTTAGAACCGTGTGCTCTAAGCCCAGATGGCCGCCAGCCTCTCTGCCCAAGGGACGAGGCCATGACAGCTAAGGGTTAAGGGAACCAAGTTAGCTCATTGCAGGTACAAGTCACTAGAAGAAGAGGCTGGCGTTGTTTTTAAGGAGGGGACTCCAGCTACTTCAGATATCCCCTGCTCCTCTCAGGCGAGGTGCTGACAGTATTATTTCCATTTTCATTTTTCCTCCAAGCTGTCCTGAGCTCCCTGCTTCCTCTGGAGGGTCTGCTCCACATGCCCAAACAGGATCCTTTCCTCTCCCACTTCCCTTCCCCCCGACTTTGGATGCCCCTTCCCCTGGCTTAGGAAGGAGGAACACAGACCAGCCTCCAAGCCCTCAGAAAGACCTTCCCTAGCCCCACAGTAGCTGAAAAGTAATGAAGTGCTAACAAACTTCACCTGCCCAGGTGAGGCGTGTACTGCTACCTCCAGGTCTGAATCAATTCCCCAGAGGAGTTGGGAACAGGACCGGAAACTCCTCTCTTCCACTTGTTCTACTGCCTTTTAAGTGTTCTATCCTCGCTTCTCTCCTGCCCTCCCCTGCCCCGTTCTCGACTTTAGATTTCTATTTGTGTTGAACTTGTTGCTTTTTCTTCATACGGAAAAGATGACATTGCCCCAAGAGCCAAAAATAAAACAGAAAAATAAATAAATAAAAAGGTTTTTAGTGGCTTATGTCTTATAAATGGACTGCCTCTTCCTTCTTTCTAGTCTATCAGTCTAGAAACCTGCTGAAACCTGTCCCCCACGGGTGATCTGTTGGTATTTGAAATACCAGTGGAAAAGCATTCAGCAACACAGCAATATACAAGCCACTCACAGTATGACAGACTGACAGATGGGTAGTGGTCACACAAGATTAGGGAGATTCTACTGGACACTTCTCACTGACCAAGGGGAGCATCCATGGAAAATTTCAGCTGGAGAGCCACGGTCTGAAGAATCCCAAACCTTATGGCCAAAGGAAAGGATACGAGGGGGTCTTAAGTGAATCTGCAGCTGACACCCCAGTTCGGTTGAAGCAGTCTCCCTTCGAAAACACAGCTGAATTCTCCATGTATCTCCATCTATCAGAGTCATTGTGGGAGAGACATTGACCTTCTGCTTCCCCCTTTGTCCTCTGGGGAAAGAGCTGAGCCACGCCTTTCCGAAACAAGAGTGACGGCCAAGTGATCCTACCTGATAGCTCATCAAAAGCTGTTACTCCAAGATCCTATAAAAATAAGAATGGTCTTTTAAAAAATTGAAAGCAAATGACTGCAGATTACTATAACAATATAGCATATGTTTAATAAATAGAAACAACAGAAACGCTGCGAAAAGCACTACGTTGCCGTAAGGGTGATTCTTCATCTGTGTATCTGAAACCTTTGAATGCTGACTATTCCAGCACACACTGACCAGTTTCCCTAGGGACCAGAGCACCTCCACCCAGGGTGAGATCAAGGGACGGGGGTGACAAGGCCCGAGATCACAGACTAAGATGATGATTCAAAGACTGGCCAACACGCTGGCCCCAAGCTCCAAGGACTCGGAGAGCGTCTCTAGATTGAAGACAGAAACCCCATCACTTATTCCTGGTCACCCAGCAATAAGCGTCCACTCGCAACTGCCCATTTCATGGCACGGGCTTTGATGTGGTACGCGCCAGGTGAACAATCAAAATGCTTTTTCTTTATTTCCTTTCTTTTCTTTCCCTCCCCTCACTTTCCTCCATCCTGTAAAAGCCAAATTTCTGGGTGAGGGAAGAGAAAGTGCTGTTGAGATCGTTTTTCAACCATCATCCATCCTCATGTACACTGTTGCTTAGATTAGCACCAGGTGGACTTTGGAGTTACCATTTCCCTACATGGGTGTCAATCAAACGTAGCAGGGAGAACACTTTAGGGGGACTATTCTAAAATGAGAATGTTAGGTATGACGGAAACCCCCAGATTTCGTGCTGTTCTAGGAAGAATCATCTCTATGCTGATTCAGGTTGATGAGTTATAGACGTTTATGCTTTTTACCTCATAGGAGTCCATCCTCCAGGATCCTGGGGCCTTTCAAGGTGTGTGCTCTCGGTTGCGTTTCTGAATGGACAGTGCTGGTCCCAGGTATGATGGCCCACTTCTAGAGATGGATAGAAAAGATGCAAGAAACAGCTTGTTTGGGTAATTTGGTAGAAATACACTGACCAAGGACTGAACATGATTTGGGCTCTCTATGTGATTTGGGCACATTGGCGACTGTGCACACGCTGCTTTTCTGTTCCTAATATTGCTAGCCCCCTAGGTCCTCCACAGAGGTTCTGGTTAGAATAATGCAGTAAGCTTAGAGACAAGAAAGAGCCGTATGGGATGATGGAACAGGGAGCGCCTTCTGGAGGACAGACTTGAGCCCAGCCTTGAGGGATGAAGGCGAGTCCTGCCTCTTTAGTAGAGGATGATGATACAGAGTAGTGGGATTAAGCACAGCGTCCTAAGAGCTGTGAGGATACCAGGCTCAGGAGTGCACAAAGACCACCGGGGGGAAGGGGGGGGTTGTATTTGATAAAAGAGGAAACTGTACCAGAAGTGTATCTTGCTGAGATGGTGATAAATAACCTTCATCTAGCTAGTTAGTAAGTGAGTATCTGGTAATAAATCAGAAATGCCAGGAAAATGTATAATGATGTTTTCATATAATAATAAGCCCACTGCCACGTGGTTGATTCCAGCTCATAGCAACCCGATGGGACAGGGAGTAGGCACCTTAGGATTTCTGAGGCTGTAAACCTTTATGGGAGTGGATGATCTCTTCTTTCTCCCGTGGGGTGGCTTGTGGGTTTGAACTGCTGACCTTGTGGTTAGCAGCCCAATATTTCACCCCCTATGCCACCAAGGCTCCCTTGCTGTACAATCCACAATCCGAAACCAAACCCATTGGCACTGAGTTGCTGCCAATTCATAGCAACTGTTGCAGGCCATTAAGACTCAGCCTTGAAACGGCTGAGAAGATATCAACCCAGGTGTCAGTATCTGCTGTTTGCGTCTGCAGTTTGACACTGAGACTAAGAAAAAGAACAAAGATGTGTGCAAGTTCTGGGAAAACAGAATGTTCCATTTTTATCAAAGACTCCTTGACTTGGCAGAATATAGAATTTCTGATATATTGTGATAATAGACTAATTATAACCCTGGGTTGTTTCTGCATGTATAAAAGGCAGATGTAGAATAAACTCGGGGCTTCATTATTCACTGTTGCCCTCCCAATACTTTCTGTCTCTTTTTTCCCTTAATCGTCACTCCCCCTTTCAGGACCATTCGACTCGTCGGCAGGCTCCGACAAGCAAGCCTGTGCTGGGTTCCTGGGGCGGTGAATCCTTATGAGAGCGTTTAGCTTCATCTTTCTCCCCAGGATCGGCTGGTTGGCTGCACCTGGCTTTCCAAATAATAGGTAGCAATGAAAGAATGTGACCTTTTTGAAGCATGATAATGAAAATATTTTATGATACTTTGTCCATACATGTTACCATCGTTAGGCTGCTGAAATGATTCTGACGGTCTTTGTATTAGAAACATTTTGTAAAACGACCTCCCGCACCCAGGCTCCTTCACGAGTTACATTTCCACTCATATGAGGCAGAGTAGAACTGCCCCTTGGGGTTTCCAAGGCTTCAGTCTTTATGGAAGTGGATTGCTGTATCTTTTCCCCACGGAACTGCTGCTGGTTTCAAACGCAGACCTTTTCCACAGGGCTCTCTGAGCACGGTCCTGTTTAGGTGTTGAGAAAAAGTACAATCCTGCAGTAGGCATTTTGGCCTCCAGAGGGCCCTGCTGTTTTCACAAAAGAAGACAGGCTTTGGTGACTGCGTGGTACTGTGTTTCTAGGAAACTTTCATTTTAGATGTAATTATACTTGTTCTTCTTTTCAGACCAGTCTCAAAAGCCCAGTGACAGAGTTGGCAGCGGTAATGGCATCCATTTAAACAAAAGAAACTAGAAACAAGAGGCACAGAGCCCAAAATATTCCCTCTCTTGCCTTTTAGAAGCAAAAATAATTACAACAAAACCTTCCCAACTTTCCATCACTGGTTCCTATCCTGGACTCTATGCCCGTGCTATACCCCCATTTCAGAGGGCATTTTCTACTATGCTAATGGACATGATTAATGTGAGACTAAGACCTGACTTTAGTAGAGGTTTCGAACCCAGCCACACCCTTTTCTTTTTTCTTTTTAATGCTAGACTATGTTGCTTTTTAGTTATTTATTTTACTATTGGTTTGTTGTACACCCTTTTCCTTTGGGCATCTTTAGACTGTGCCTAGTAAAAGGTGTGAATCAACCACACCCTTTGTTCCTTTGGGGGCGTCTTTCTACTTTATAAGCTCACCCCATGGTGTTGATGCCAACTCACGGTGACCCCGTAGGGCAGAGTGGAATGGCTGCTGGGAGTTTCTGAGACTGTAACTATTCAGGGGAGTAGAAAGTCTTGTCTTCCTCCCACAGAGAGGCTGGTGGTTTTGAACTGCTCACCACAAGGATGCCTTTTACTTTACTGCAAGGTATGATTTCAGACACCACCCTTCATTTTCCTTGGGGTATGGTTGTCTAAAAGACAAATCACACCTCCGTCAAAGCTCTTCCTCACTATATAAGAGCCATCTGGGGCACAGAAGAAAAACCCAGCACCATTTAGAAAAGCATGTCAGAGATCTGTCTCAAGTGGCAGAGGCAGCTGTAAACCAGATGCATTAGCAACTGTGGCACAGAGGCTCAGAGGAGCAGCACTGAGACGATGGGGTACCTTCCCTTCATCTAGCCCAAGACAGGGGGACAGGTGGCCTGGCTTCCTAGTCCCATGGAGAGAAAGGCCTCCGTGACTGACTCTGTGGCTGAGCCTGAAGACCAGAGAGACTTGGCTGCTGGCTTGAGGAGACCAGTGACTGTATCCTTACTGTTTGCTGATCCTAACATGTGGCAACCTCTTAACTTCCCTAATGACCCCCCTAAGTGTGACTCTTCTCTGTGAGTTTTTGAACCCAGCACAGAAGTAGAGCAGCGTGGGAAGAATGGTTGGTGTCAGAATCAGTAAAGAAGGATGGAGCAGGCAGCCTGGCCCGCCCAACCTCATGGCTACAGGGAAGCCCGAGGAAGTCAGCTGTGTCCACCTCCATTGCTGCTCCCACCAGTCCCATACTTATCATCACTACTATTATAAACAATATTGTAACGAACAACCTTGAGCATAAGTCGCTTAACCGGGGCACTGATATATTAGGGGCAAATTCTTAGATTTTTGAACTGCAAATATATGTATATATATTTGAACTGCAATATTAGGGGCAAATTCTTAGATTTTTTGAACTGCAAATATATATATATCTATTTACCGAGTCAATTCTGAAAGGACTCCCAAATGGCCCTCCATGAGGCCTAATTTCCAGTATGCCAAATCTTCACCTCTTGTCCCACTAACTTCCACTCACACCTGCTTGGAATTCACATCTGTCTGTCCACCTTTTTTCAGTGACCTCTTTCTAAAATGCAAATCCAGCCCACCCCCCTCCTGCTTCCTCTATTCACAACCCTTCAGCACCCTCACCCCTTGGATCTTGAAGCATCCCACCGTCTTGGCCTGCACTGCCCAGTGTGGGCCGCCAGGCACCTGCAGCCATTGAACATAGGGATACGGCTGGTCCCAATCACACGCACAAGGTACATCTGCTAAGTCTTAGTGTGACGAAAGGGAGGGGAGTTTTAACAGGCCCATTAGGCAATTCTTAGAGTCGATTACATGTTGAAATGCATAGGTGTTTGCACTGTTGAGCTAAATAAACACAGCGTCAAGTTCTCTGCCCCTGTTCCTTTGGGTTGAAGGACAGTTAATGAACTATTTTACATTATCCTCGTGGTTGGCATTGGTAGCTTCCGCGGATTTCTACTGGGCAGCATTCAGGTACCTCCTTGCTCTGGGTGCCCTCTCCCCTCTCCTCCCCCCCAGTGCCCCCTCTGTGTTTCAGTCCACAGTGCTCCCTGAGCCTCAGAGCCCCCTGCCTGCTCCCCTTCCACCCTTAATCCTCTTACTGAGATTCTGCAGGAAGCTTCCTCTTGTTTCTTCTAGATGACAAGGTCTGCCTCGGTTCAGGACCTCCTCTCTCCTCTTTATCCCTGGTACACACAGCCGGGGGCCAGAGGAGGAAAAACCAAAATCAAACTCCTGCCACGGAGTCGACAGCGACTCAGAGTGACTCTAGGGGGCAAGAGAGAACTGCCCCTGGGAGCTTCTGAGACCGTCGCTCTTGACTGGCGTAGAAAGCCCTGTTGCTCTCTAGCGGAGCATTGGGTGGTTTCGAACTGTCGACCGGGGGGTTAGCAGCCCAACCACTGTGCTTCCAGGGCCCCTCAGAGGAAGAAAGGAGGGCTGGAAAGACGCAGCAGCGAGTTACAGAATAAAGGTAGAGGGAGGTAACAGGGGAACAAATCTAAATGAAAAACATACACATACAAATACATATATTTGGACGATTCAGATATGAATCGTATTTTAGTTGCAAAAAATGGTAATAACGACAATGAGCACTTAAAAGGATCGTAGCCACGGGGGTTGGGGTTGGCACTTACTTTCTTCGAGGTGGGCATCTGCTGGCACAACCTGGTTTTCGCCCGCTGCCCTCCACCCCCCACCCGAACGAAGGTGCAGGCCAGGGGACTCCGAGGGTGGCCAGAACCCACCTCCTTCCAGCACCCACTGCACGGGGACCTTACTCACCCACGGGCGGCGGCTGGCCGATGGCCGCCAACGGAGGAGGAAGCAGCGGCTCTGCCGGGAACAGGGAGGCGTCTTGGGGAAAGCGAAAGCGAAACCCGGCGGCCCAAGTCCGCGGGGCGGGCCGCGCCGTCGCCCAGTCGCCATCGGGCCGGAGTCGGGGCTGCACGCAGCCATGGCCGCGCCGTCCTGCCCGCCGTCCCCGCTGCTCGTGCGCGTGTCCGAGCCGGGCCCCCGGATGCACCTGAAGCTGGAGAAGTACTTCCAGAGCCGGAGCTCGGGCGGCGGCGAGTGCACGGTGCGGGCGCTGAGCGACAGCACCCCGGACACCTTCCGGGTGGACTTCGCCGAAAGGGCGGGTGAGCTGTGGGCAGCCGGGGTGCGGGTCGGGCCAGGGCTGGACAGGCCAGCCGCTCGGGTTCCCACGGACCCCGGAGAGAGGGCAGAGGAATGGGGTGCTGTCGGAGAGCGCCCAGGCGCGCCGCCCGGGATCCGCTGTGAGCGGCCTGGACACGGATGCTTGCCAATATCCCCATCCTGCCTCTTGCATTTCTCAGCTCTTCCGAGAGCCCACTTTGCACCCCTCCCTCCCGCAAGCCTGCCAGCCACTGTCCCTGTCATTCAGCCAGTCTGCTTCAAAACGGACTGTACAAGGGACCGCAGAGACTGCAGGGAGTGAGGTCTGACTCACAGCCACCCTCTAGGACGGTGTCCAAAGTCCCTGCGCCTTTCCAAGGTGGATGTCTCTATGAGAATAGAAAGCCTCATCTTTCTCCTACGGAGATTTTGAACTGCTGACCTTGGGCTTAGCCAGCAGCTCAACTCATAAAACCCATGACCCCAGTGGCTTATTACAAAAAACTTAGTCTGGCAAAGAGAAGGTAAAACCTCAGGAATCATCCGAAGCCATTATTTCTTGGGTGGACTTTTGAGGACCACAAAAGCAGTGCTGGTAAGTGTTGGCTGTATCCAGAAAGGCCTCCGGAGGCCCTGTCAGCTACCGTGGAACCCCACCCCTGAAGATGAGCACGGCCCACTGTCTGGCTGTCTGTCCTTCCTGCCCTGTCCTAGGAATGTCTGCACACATAGAGTCAGAATTCCCAGCCTACATTTTGATTCACTTTATAAATGGGTGTTTTTTCCTATCATTGAAACGTGAGACTGAGAACGCAGTGTCTGACATAGGACTTCTACTGAGTGGATGATGATAGTCCACATCAGTAAGCTTTCATTGCCGCAGTAGTGAGAATTTAGGGGCCCGCTTAAGGGTTCTCAAGTCCTCCTGTTCAAATCTCTTCTCACTGGCCCTCCAGACCAGCTGCAGTGGGTAGAGCCCTGAGGCATGAATAAAAGGAGGCTTAGGGGAAAGAGTTCCCACTTCTCAATCTCTGTGGGTGTGTTTAATGTCTTTTCTAAAGCTAAGGAGGGAGTGTTGAAAAAAGGAGACCACCAAATTTTGGTGGGAAGCTGCTTTGTGAGCATTTTCCTGGAACCCACTGGAAATCTAATCGAGAAGAGCACCCACCAGCAAAGGTCCTTGTCGGCATCGTCAGGAGCAGAGGTGCTGCCGGGTGAGAAGCATCCCGATGAAGAACCGGTGCCTAGCCCTGTGGATTCCGGTGTGTCCAAGGTGAGTGTTGACAGGAGCCGGGCTTCTGCCTGCAACGTTCTCTGCCAGGCTCCATGACTTCATCGTCATCATTCTTCCAACAGCCATGAGCCAGACTCTGTTTTAGGCATGGAGTCTGGGATTTGGACACACGAGTCAAGGCCCTGCTCTCCTACAGCTTGTGTTGGAGCTACATAGACAGTAAACTAACTACATAAGACATTTCCAGAGAGCGTTGTGTACTAAGAAGAAAACAAAGTGGGGGTTAGCCTTAAAGAGAAACAGGACTAGAGAGGAAGGAGGGGTGGATGGAAAGGATGTATTTCTGACCAGAAATGAGACATAACCTATCTCTCTGATGAGGAGATATTTTTCCTGAGACTTGGAAGATATGGAGCCAGCCATACAAAGAGTCATTCCTTACATTGAATGTCTCTTGGGTGCCAGACACTATCCTGGGAGCTTGGGGTACAGGGCAAGCCCTGCCCTGCTCAAGCTCTGTGGGTCAGCAAACTGGGAGGGACCAGCCTCCACAACCGAATGGGTCCAAGGGTGTGGTTGTGTAATTGAGGAGGTATATTAAAGAGACATCAGACAAGGCAAAGCATGTAAGGGCTCACCTCCGCCATAACTTCAGGAGCCAGGTCCACACAGAGAGAGAGATTGTATTCTCATCATTTTATGTACTCTCGGGGCATGCAAGCCCCTCTAGTTACAGGTAATCACATGCGAAACAGGAAGGGGACGGGTTAAGGGTATACACACAATAGGAGGGGCAGGCACTAGAGTCACACATGTGACAGGAAGGTGCATCCTTAAAAAGATGGGTGAATTCTAGAGTCAAGATGGCAGCCCTAACCTCCTTCGTCTCCGAGCAGGGAGCAGGCTTGACCTTAGATGTCTTTGAGCTTTTCTGCAGGGGATCAAGCTAAAATTCTTATCAGAAGGCAGTGGGCCTTACTTAGGGTGGAACAGACAAGAGGGTCTGATTGCTTTTGATGGCAGACAATCTTCAGACAGATCACTTTCAAGCAGTTGACCTTCAAGAGTATAATACATGACCTTCATGTGTTTGCAAACAGCACCTTAAATTTGGCATATCATTATTAGGCATTATTATAAAAGGGGAATGACTTTTACTTAGGACACTGACTGGAACACATCTCCAACTTACAAATGTGAAGGTTCCCTCCACAGGAGCCCTGGCCTCCCAGACTCCTTAACATATGAATGTTGAGAGTTTGTCCTCATATACTCTTCCCGGTTTCCAGTTTCCCACATCCAGCTCCTGAATTAAGGGTCCAGAGGCACCTTACTCCAGTAAGCCTCAGCTGGAAGGCACTCAGCTCTACTTCCATGGCTCAGCACGCCCAACTTCTGGAATTAAGAGCCCAGAGGCACCCCACTCTGCAAGCCAGCCTCCTGCACAGAAGCACTCAGCTTTACTTGTTTGGTGGGGTGGGGGGAGCCCACCACTCTGCTCCATGGTCTGGCTCCCAGTTCTGCTGCTGCTCCTCTGATGGTATAGCTGTCATATGGATCCAAGAGGTTCACTGCACAGGGATCTCAGGTCCAGAGGACCCGCTCCGCTCTTGGCTCTTGCTGGTAATGAGATCCTTCTGCTGCTCAGAGGGTTCATTTTATACACAGCCGGATGGCACTCCCGGGAATCCTTTTCACAGTTACTTACAGGTAAATCTTACCAGTATTTCCCCCCACCCTCTTCCCAGATCTATGCAGGGAAAGGTCGTTTGATTGGAGGTAGAGACTTTGTCTAGAAGAGCCACATTATATAACTCACTGCCCCTACAATTATATGCCATTTGCCTCTGTCCTGATTGTCCTCATTTGGTGTGTCTATCTTATATTGGAGCCTCTGACAGCCAGGATTTATAGGGCCCAGCCACCATGCAAGTAGGCAGATGTTCAGCTGGAACCAAAGGGCTGGTGGTGGTGGTGAGAGTGCTGGTGAAGACAGGGAAAACATCTGCCAGGAAAATACATCTTCCTTCAACGTGGGAGCTCTAGTTCAGGCTCACGGATCTTTGAAGACTCACAGCAACTCACCCAGAGAACAAGCCACTTCCTCCACTCTTCTCGCTGAGGTCACACAGAGTTGACACCCAGACTTCTTCTCCAGACAGCTTTTTAAAAAGGCTCCTGCCTAGGCCCCACTGCAGGCCACTCACTTCAGCAGCTTGAGAGTCGAGAGAGACGGGGCTTTGGCATGACTTCCAAGCTCTTCGGGTGACTCTGGCGTGTAGGCTGAGAACCTGTGCACTGTACCACGTCACATCCTCTGCAAAGACTGGCTAGAAGTCACGCCTTTTATTAAACAGATTTTGGGAGGCATATAATTCACAAACCACACAATTCAATAGTACAGACATATCACAAAGAGTCGTAGAGCCGTCACCACAATCAACCTTAGAACATGTTCTTCATCCTTGTACTCAATATTAGTTCCCCTTTCCCTCCAACTTCCCCGGATGTACCTCGTAGGAAACATGAATTCATTTATTGCCTCTATAGATTTACCCAGGTTGGGTTTCCTATAAAGAAAGACATTTCAAAAACAACAACACACTGACAACAATAACAAACACCTCAATCAAAAAAAGAAGGCAGGAAATATTAAAAACTAGAAAAACAAGAACCAAAAAAACTAGGACAAATTTACAAGGGGTTCAAAAGGAGATCAAGTGATAAGGTGATCGATTTTAACCTTGCTGCCTCTGCCGTGATCGCTTTTGAAGGCCCTCTGCATGACAGCAAGGCTATTCATGCCTCTAAATTCCTCCAAAGGCATTTATCAGAGGCTCATCCACGTGTATTTCCCCCTCCCTTTTTTTAAAAAATGGAAACAACCTTAAGATGAGTCCGAAGACGCCCCATCAAGGTACCCAGTGTGGTTATGTCTTCAGTCTCCAGGTATTTTCCTGGATCATTGGATGTCTGATGTGGGAGAGATTTTATTTGTCCCTTTTTAAATTCCAGATCTTTCTTGCTGTCACAGCTGACCTGAACTGTCACCTGCTCTCTAAAGAACTGAGGGAACACATAAGGACTCTCTGCCCCCAGGTCCAACAAACGGAGGGTCTCCATGGGATTGAGAAGGTGTACGGTGACTTCAAGGATATTGAAAGAATCTATCGATTCTTGAGTGAGCGGCTGCTGGAAAGTGAGCCAATCTCGGAGGCTTCCCCTGGAGCCACAGAGAAGGGGCACCCCGGTCAGTGGGACTGGAACCACGCAGTTTCTCCTGAACCACAAACCAGGAAAGAAGAGAAAAGTACCTGTTTTACAGTTTCCTTGCCTCTCTTCGAATACTTCCAGTATACTTGTCCTGGTAAAATTCAAATGATAGAGACAAAATTTGGCATCAACATCAACATTGGGACAAGTTCTCCAAATATGGTCTCTGTAGACTTCACCTCCAGCCAATCAGGAGACCTCGAAGGGGCCCGGGAATTGTTTGCCTCTGAATTTCAGAATGTCATGCAATCTCTAAAGCAGGAGACTGTCCCTGTAGTAGACGGTAAGAAGCCAAATGAAATCAAACAAGAATTAAACCATCGGTTTAAAAAACTCCTTATAAAGGAGAAAGACAGGGAATTAATTCTTCTTGGGCCCCAAGATGACATCTTGGCTGCCACAGAATTTCTTGTCTCCCAGGTCTCTAAGCGCCCTGTCAAGACACCTGTGAAAATATCGGCTCCCAAGGGCAAGAAGAATGGAATTGAAGTCGACACTGTCCACTATAAGCTCTTAGAAGATGAATTGCGGCAGGAGATAGTAACGATAGACAGAAAATACAACACTTGCTGCAAGGCTTTTGAAAAAACACAGAATGCTCAAAAAACCTGTATTCAGTTTGACCCCAAGGACAAGGAGGTCGATCTGTCCATGCATGCATGTGCGAGCTTCATCGATGCCTATCAGCAGGTCTCTGGGATGCTGATAAGAGAAGTTCTCTCGTTGACACTTTTGGGCAAGGACAGAAAATACTTACTTGGGACTAAGTTTGTTGATGACTTTAGGAAAATGCATCCACATATACATTTTGTGATAACCCAAGAGTCGATGATTCTGACTGGTTTGCCAAACCACCTTACAAAGGCCACGCAGTATTTCTCTGAGAGAGAAAAGAGAGAGGCAAGGCCTCTGTTGGTCCAGGAGAAATGGAACATGGATAATGAGACGGCAGTGGACATCGATAGAAAGAGTTCCAAAGCATCCCCTCCTCCATTGATGGGATCTGCCAGTTCTGGGGCCTCTGGCGGGGACAAAGAGGAAGACAACATATGTAGCATTTGTAGGGACATCATTACGAACAAGAAAGTGCTACCAAAATGCAAGCATGAATTCTGCACCCGTTGTATTGACAAAGCCATGACCTATAAGCCGACTTGTCCTGTGTGCTTGACCTTCTACGGTGTCCAGACAGGGAATCAGCCAGAGGGAACCATGACTGTCACCAAGCTATCACAAAGTCTTCCAGGTTATAAATCTTATGAAACCATTAAGATTTGTTATAAAATGATCGGAGGCATCCAAACAGTAAGTATTTCTGAGTTCCTGGGTTTCTATCCACTATACTGGGACCCCTAGAACAAAATGGACTGACCGGTTGCTTACTTAACGTTTTTCCCGGGAATTATTTCCAGGGCCGTATGCAAGGGCTTGAAAGGGTGCTAAACTCATAATGCTTGTTTACAAGTATCTTTCTTGCCTATTGTTTAAGGCAGAGAACGGGTAGATGAGTAGGAATTAGGAAAGGGGAGGCCCAGAGGGTGGCTAGTGTGCCCAGCATGAGTCTAGGGAAAGAGAGAAATGGGAATTACTGGGGATACAAACAAATCTTCAGTACTATGTTTTGGTTTTGTTTGTTAATACTCTATTTGCTAAAGACACATGTAAAAATCAATATATATGTTAAAATTCAGACAGGGCGTGCTTTGATGTGACATTTTCTTATTTTCATATAGAAAGATCACCCAAACCCAGGGAGGACATATAGTGCAACAGTTCGAAATGCATACTTGCCTGATAATGAGGAAGGAAGGGACGTCTTGAGAATGCTTCGTACAGCCTTTGAACGAAAGCTGATCTTTACAGTGGGGCAGTCCCAAACAACAGGAGCCTCGAGTGCCATTACATGGAATGATATCCACCACAAGACATCCATGGACGGGGGACCCCAATGGTGAGAGAGAGCATACTGCAGCAGAATGGCTGAGAGGGGCGCTGCAGGCACCACGGTCAAGCATTCCGTTGCTAATCAAGTCAGCAGATCGAACCTACCAGCTCTACTCCATGGGAGAAGGAGATGGCAGTCTCCTTGCGGAAAGGTTACAGCCCCAGACACCCTCTGGGACAGTTCTAGTCTGTCCTGTAGAGTGTCTCTATGAGTCAGAATTGACTTCATAGCAGTGGGTTTAGTTGAACAGAAGTTTGAGATTGTGAAAAATGGCAATTTAAAGGTGTGGCTGTCAGGAGGGTTTAGGACGGTCAGTCCTGAAGGAAAGTGGCCCATAGAGTATACTGTGTATAGGGTAACTTAAGGAGAGTCACTGCCTACTATGTACTGAACAATGAAACAAGCCTCGTTGGAAGCCAGGTGCTGGGCACCCGGTGAGGCTCACTCACAATCATGGGACTTAGAGCTGCACATTGAGTCCTTGTAAGTCATCTGCCCTCAGCATTGCTAGGGAATGGTCACACCTGAAGGTTAAATCCTCAGGTGACTAAGTGCTGCTGTACAAATTCTTAAGAACCATGGGTGTGGACGCTTAACGGGGTTTTGTTTTTACAGTTTTGGCTATCCCGACCCGCTTTACCTGAGCCGAGTCAAAGAGGAGCTGAAGGCAAAAGGAATTCTGTAAGAAGACAGCTGGAAGGATGTCTTGACCTGCCTTTCAAAAGATATTTGAGGAGGCAGAGTAGATACACCAATCTAGCACATTAAGTCTACTCTTTTGTTTTTTTAATTGACGTCAAGAAGTGGTTTGTGTAAAAGTAAGAAGCTGCAAGCCTGTCATTTCAGGAGTGTTGCTTCTCGGGGTGGACAAAAGCCCAAAGCAGCAGTACGATTTTGCTGAGAGGTGTCATGCCTCCTCCTTGTGTGCTCCCTGGGTGTGAAAGGCATGTGGCTGTGGCCTTGACGTGCTGTTTACACGCTTTCCATCAGACCTCGAGCTGTCGATTTGCACTGTCATCTCTAGGGTGGCCCGGTAATGTTTTGTTTGGTTGTTTTTTTAAATCCCTACCTGTGAAAGTGATGAAAGGAAATCCTAATGAGAAAAGATTCAAAAACGAGGCTTGGATTATGGACAATTAGAGATGCGCGTCCCCATCCTCCAACCATGGCTGGAGAAGAAGCCAGGAGTCAAGATTGAACCACCTTTGGTAATAAAAGGAAAAGGGGTGTTATTATTTTTTTTGAAAGAGATTTTTGAGGGCACATAATCCACCTATCGATAGTTCAATATTTCAATAATATCAAGAAGAGTTATGCAATCATCACCACCATCAGCTTTAGAATGTTTTATTCTTTTTTGTGTTCATTGTCACTAGCTCTCCATTTTCCCTGACCTCCCTTGTCAGGTCCCCAAGAATCCAGTCTCGGTAGATTCACCCATCCAGCATTTCATCTACTAAAACACATACAAAAACAAGCTAACAAGCATAACAAAGTAAAATAGGGGCAAACCTCCATGGAAAAGAAAGCTGAAAATATTAAAAACTAGCACAAAATTAAAATGGGTCAAAAGGGAGATCCATGATAAGGTGTTACATTTTAACCTGGCTGCACCTGAAAAGGCTCTTCTTTTTAGTGAGCGCAACTGGAGTGCAGTTAAATGGTGAATGCTGCCGGCTCCGTTTGCCAAGAGCCCAGCCAGGGATCTCTCTGCCCGCCCCAAAGCTTTAGCAGAAGCAGGAGTCCGCACGACTGATTTGAAAAACTGAGTTGTTATTCAGGAATACCTGGTGTCTCGGTTTGGGCCTGGCCCTGGCCGCTAACTTGATTCTTGCTTGCTCCAAACCCCAGTGACCTGCCATGTGCTGTGTACTCATCCTGCCAAAGAGATGCGACTCATTTCTGAACACTTTTCCCCTTCTGGATATAATTGTCGTCGTGGTGTCTCCCCTGCTTCCGGTCTTGACTTTCGCCCCCATCTTCGCAGCCACTGTAGTCCTGATTGTAGTTGGTCACCTCTTGACAAAGCCCCGGAGAAGTTACCTTTTCCCATGAAGATCCTCCTTCTTGATTATCTTTGCAAGGGAGAAAAGGCAGCAAGTTGAGCCTTTTGTGAGGAATATATTTAAAGTCAAATTTTACGTTTTCATGGTTTTCCATCCCAGAAAAGAAGTACAGTAGCAAATCACCTAGTTCTCAAGGCCACTCTCCAAAAATGGTGACCAAGGCATTGTGTTCTTTTCCTAAATATGCACATAAAAGCCACAACGCAAACAAAAACTCAAACTCACTGCCATCATATCTATGCCGACTCATAGCAGCCCTATAGGACAGAGTGGCGCTGTCCCTGTGGGTCTCTAAGACTGTAACTCTACATAAGTAGAAAGCTCCAACATACTCACATATTAGTGCTTTGATCTTCTAGGTGAGTTATTTATCAGTAGCTCACATTACTGAACACTTATTCTATCCCCTTTCTAAGAGCTGCACGGCTGTGTGATTTACACAAAGGCTAGTCCCAGGTTATAAATGAGAAAGTCAATGCACAGAGGAGAGAAGTAACTCCCATGGCTGGTGAGTGGAAACACAGGATGTGAGCCACACAGTCTGCCCGCAGGGCTTCTGCCCCCCACAGCTGCACTCTCACTCCCAGGGGCACTTCTCTGAGGAGCAGCCTGCTGAGTTCCCCATACTTTCTTGGAAATGGAATTCCCTCCGAGGGGAGTCTTATTTGAAGTACTGAAACCTGGAGGCCTTTCCTTTGTCCAGAGAGTTAAGGATGTATAAGTAGACTTGATATATCATTTATTAAATCAGGTTATATAGCTACTGTATTTTCACATATTCACCCATCCAAATAACACACGTCTGTCAAGCACAACACTCGTAGGAAGCCAACGGGTGAAGGAGTTGCTTGGTTTTCAAAAAGACTCCTTACCATACCTGTTAATTGCATTAAAACTATGGTAGCATTTGGTGGTTCATTAGAGTCTTTACCCTTGTGATTAACAGCTTATTTTGTATCTGCTGATTTTTTGGCTAAATTTACTTAAAACTGACTTTATTTCTGCTAAACTATGGATCTGTGGTTGCACCGTGTGTGCTTACAGAGGTGATCAGGGCACGACTGACAGGTAAACATTTGGATGACTGTTTTCGCCCTTCGGAAGTGGCTATTAGCTGCATCTACCTTAAATAAAGTGAAGTCCATTTTAAGAACGGTTGTCTCTCTTCTGTCCTTGCTTCTTTTTGCCTCTTAGGTTGAGCTTCTGAATGTTTCCTATAACTGGTAAAATTTTGAAATGTGTGTGGCTATTTTCAACCGAATTTGTATGCACTAGATTTAGCCACTGAAAAACTTAACTGTGATCTAGGGGAGAAGAAAGACCCCCCCAATTCAAATATAGTTTATAGAGACACATTAATGATGTCTTACACAGGACAAAGGTAAGGCAAAGACGCATCACCTGGACGAGGGAGACCATCAGCATAATATCATAATGGTGTCCAAGAATTTACAGGAACTTGGTCACTCACACAAGACATGGAATACAAGGAAAAGTGTCACAAAAATCAGCACATCACCGTTTCAGGCAGGACTATGGAAGTAGGAGAGGCACCACGATCAAGACCCCCCACAGTTCCACATCAACAAGCTAGGGCTCTCTGACCAAGACAGTCATAGCATATATGCTCTTGATCATGCCCCCCAGGTACCCCCAAATTCCATCAAAGCACACCCAGACAAGTTCTTAAAGATGAGGCAGTTGCTTCCGGGGCTGCCTAGGAGAATGGTAGCAATCCACTCTCAAATACACTCTGCCGGAGGCAAAATTGTTCACTTGCTGGTTTACAATCAGAAAGAACCCAAGGGAGCCTGAGTCTATGTAGAGACTCAAAAATGGATTTAAGGTTTTCACTGTTTAAGCCATAGCCTTCCCAAAATCTAGGACTCAGAGTGGAAGCTCTAGCAAAACTGTTACAGACTTCGCAGCTGCCAGGTTCAGCTGTGAAAGCTACATTTATCGATATTTTTCCATCTTAATGTAAAGATGGAAACAGGCTTCGGATTTCGGCTCTCCGAAGAGAAAGGCATATGCAACCACAGGCCCCTCCTTTCTCCTAGAGTTTCCATTCATTCCATCTCTCCATCACCAGTGCTGCATTACCCCATGTCTCACTGAGCACCAAAATAAGGAACCCCTCATCTCCCAAGGGAAAGAGGATTAAAATATTGAGAGATTTGATGTCCCTGCACCTCCAAAGAGTTGTATCAAGGCAATTATTAGGAGAAAAATCAGATTTTTGTTTGCTGTCCTTAAGTTATGTTAGTACTGGTTGTGTTTCTGGTTCCACATGATAACCAAAAAACTCCGAACTCACTGCCCTTGAGTCGATTCTGATTCTGAGTCATAGTGGCCTTTTAGGACAGGGTAGAACTGCACCTAAGGGTTTCCGAGTTACTTACACGAGTAGAAAGCCTCATTTTTCTGCTGGGGAGTGGCTAGTGGTTTTGAACTGCTGACCTTTCAGTTAGCAACTCAATGTGTAACCAAGATACCACCAGGCCTTAAGATTCACTGCTGTTTACTGCACTTAACACTTCGCTGTCGTCAGGAAAGAGCAAACCGATGAGCTACTTGGTTAGAAGTAATACAACACAAGCACAAAGGCATGCATTGGAGGAAAAGACTAACAAATAAAATTCTTAACCAAGATAAATTGGGGAGTCAAGAAGTGAGCCACAAGATGTCCATTCCAATAAATCCCTCTTCACACTTTAACCCTTCACATTTCTACTTGATCGACTCACTGTTCAATTAATTTAGAAGAATTTGGAATCTGAGATACAAGGATAGAATACATAGCTCTATTGCAGATCTTGACCATAGGTCACCAGATATAAATGGCTATATAAAGAAGAATACAGCATCAGGATTGGAGGAAGGTTTATCAACAACCTGCAATATGCAGATGACAAACTGCTAATTGCTAAAAGCAAGGAGGACTTGAAGCACTTGCTGATGAAGCTTAACCATTGCCGCCTTCAGTATGGACAGAACTCAAGGTCAAGAAAACCCAAATCAACACACCTTGATCAGTAGATAACATCATGATAAACGGAGAAAAGACAAAAGTGGCCAAGGATTTCATCTTGCTTGGAGCCACAATTAATGCTCATGGAAGCAGCAGTCAAGAAATGAAATGGCATATAACATGGGGCAAATCTGCACAAGACCTCTTCGAAGTGTTGAAAAGCAAGGATGCCACTCTGAGAACCCAGGTGTGCCTCACCCACCTCATATGGAAATGAAAGTTGGACATTGAATAAAGAAGGTCTAAGAAGAACGGATGCATTTGAATTAAGGTGCAGGCGAAAATCCTGAAAATGCTACGGGCATTTGTCCGAAGAACAAATAAATTTGTCTCGGAAGAGCACAGCCAGACTCCTTAGAAGCAAGGATGGAAAGATATGCATGCACATGTCTCCCACATGCACAGACAAGTCTGTGGAAAAGGATATCGTGCTTGGTGAAGTAGAAGGCCAGCCACCAAGGGGAAGCCCCTCAGTTAGGTGGATTGACATGGACACAGTGGCTGCGACCATAAGAACAAAGGTGCGGATGGTGCAGGGCGGGGCCGTGCTTTGTTCTGTTGCACATAGGGTCACTGTGAGTCAGAACTGACCTAACAAAAGACAAAAACCAAATGCTTGAGAGGAAGAAGCCTCGCTTTCAACCACGGAGTGCTTGCTGGGTTTGAACAGTTGACCTTGCCCTAACTCACTTGGCCAGCACAGCTCCTCAAAAAGCTAGTTACTTCTTTTAGCTCACTGGGCAGAATCTTAGGAAACTCTTTAGAAGAATATACATTTTTCTACAGAACACTAGCTTTTAATCCCTACCCTTTGAAACTACTGGTGCTGTAAATTGATGACATTAATTCTTTAATAATCTGTTTGAAATTACAAAATTTTCTGGCCAGATTTTGGGTGGAGGGCAGGGGGTTAGACTGAACCAGGATAATTGCTTTTTAAAAAGACAGTTTGAAAACTTGATATGAATTTCAAGTTCATATCAAGACTTCCACTGGAATTAAGGCACCACTTTGAGACTCTTCCACTCACCGGCCCCCCGCCCCCCCCTACGTTATGAATCTACCCTTAATGGGGTCACAAAACTAAACCAAACACACTACTGAGTCCTGAGGCCAGGGCCAATCACTGCCTCCAGGAGCAGCTTGAGACGCAGAAGGGGCCACAGGGCTCTGGATTCTGGCTTTTCAGGTCCTTTGCTGGGAGGCGTGGTCAATGATCCTGGTC